GGGGCTCACTGGGGAAGGCCCCAGAGCACAGCCGGTGGGGCTCACTGGGGAAGGCCCCAGCGCACAGCCGGTGGGGCTCACTGGGGAAGGCCCCAGAGCACAGCCGGTGGGGCTCACTGGGGAAGGCCCCAGCGCACAGCCGGTGGGGCTCACTGGGGACGCCCCTCTGCTCAGCGCTCACCAGGGCCGTCCGTCTGGAAACAGCCCTGAAACCGGGCTTACACGCGTGCCTCCCCCAAACCCGCGGGACCAAAGGCAGACCCGTGCTCGGGGAAGGATCCTGTCCCTGTGGTTGGCTCCGGCCAGACTCTGAAATGGCTTTCCGGCCGGTCTGCATGCCCCTCGCGCACCTGCTGCACACACACACGCACACACACACACACACACACACACACGCTCACACACACACGTTCACACACACACACACTCGCACACACGCACAAGCACACGCACACACAGACACACACGCTCACACACACACACGCTCACACACTCACACACACTCACACACACACTCACACACAAGCACACACACACACTCACACACACACACGCACAAGCACAGGCACACACACACTCACACACATGCACAAGCACACGCACACACAGACACACACGCTCACACACACACACGCTCACACACACACACACTCACACACACACACGCACACGCGCGCGCGGGACGTTTAGCATGTGCACTTACATACCACCTTCTGTCCATGGTCCCGGCGGCCCGGCAGAAATCCCCTCGCAGGTCCCGGGGGGGGCGCAGCTGTCACCCATCTTATAGGACCCGCTCCGGCGGGGGCGGGGGTGGCCCGTCAGCAGCCGCGGCCGCCCCTGCGCGCCGGCCGGCACTCTGGCTGGTGCCGGGTAAACCCTCACCACACCGTGCTCCCGCGGCTGGCCCGGGGCCCGGCACCGCATTTAGCCACAAGTGCATCAGCCCTGCGTGAGCGGGACAGCCCAGCTGCTTGGAAACCCTAAGTGGCATGTCAGCTAGCGGGGCCGAGAGCCACTCCAGGCCACGCAGCTAACACGGCCATCACCGGCCCGGAGCGGCCCCAGGCTTAGCGGTGACGTCTCCGGAGCCGGCGGACAAGTGCAAGGCAAAGGCCAGCTCCCTGGCCCGGCTCGGCCGCGGGAGCACAGCCCTCAGCGCCTGCTCCTCTCCCGGAAGTGACGCAGCCAACAACTGGGAGGACAGCGTGGCCGACTAACACGTTTACACCGTCTGTGCCCATGTGCCTGGCTTCCAGGCTGTCCACTGGTTAATTCAGAAAGGATCGACTACTTTTTAAATGTTTTTATTGACTTCAGTGAGAGGGAGGGAGAAGGGAAGAGAGAACCATCAGTGATGACAGAGAATCATATACCGGCTGCCCCGTGCAGGCCCTACACTGAGGCCTGTGCCCTGGCCAGGAATCGGGGCACGACCTGCTGGTTTGTAGGTCAACGCTCAACCCTGCGCTGCGCCACGCCGGCCGGCGGATCACCTTTTTGATGAGCTGCTCTGTGAGCTTTAACTTGGCCAATCACCTTGGGTAACTTTCTTTTTTAAATATATTTTATTTTTTTACAGAGAGGAAGGGAGAGGGATAGAGTTAGAAACATCGATGAGAGAGAAACATCGGCTGCCTCCTGCACACCCCCTACTGGGGATGTGCCCGCAACCAAGGTACATGCCCTTGACCGGAATCGAACCCGGGACCTTTCAGTCTGCAGGCCGACGCACTGTCCACTGGGCCACACCGGTGTCGGCACCTTGGGTAACTTTCTGCCCCCTCCTGGTTAACATTTTAGTTTGTGGTTTGTTTGTTTTTTTCTAAAAAGGCAAAATCTACTGCTTTTCTGTCTCACTGGCCCTTAGCACACGCCCCACTCAAACTGAGAAACCCTGATCCCCTCTGAAAAGCATCTCAGCGGGTGCCACTGCGTGGGGGGAGGGGGCCGCGCAAGACAGCTGGTCCCATTAGAAAAGGCGACTTCCCTGCGTAGCCAGGCTTCTGCGTTTGCATACGCTTTTTAGGCAATAAAATCTCTCTCAGTGGAAATATGTCGTTCTTTTCTAGAAACGACCATCAGTAACCATCAGTAAGCGTGTGTTGTTCTAAACCTTCACTAATGAACTAACGTGCTTGGCTTTACCCGCTGTGTGAAAGGAACAGAAGTGCCCGCAGGAGCGGAGCCAGCCTGGAGGAGAGCAGGGCAGTGAACGCCAAGCAGGGCGAGGCTGACGTGGGCGTGGAAGCCGCGGCTGATGGGAGAGACAGCAGAGACAGCACACGAGGGAGGCAGGACAAGGGCTGAGGGCTGCGGAGGGGGCTGTTCCCCAGGCTGAAGGGGCCCGGGCAGGGGGTGGCTCAACTGTCCCCACCTGCACTGCTCCACCACCCACTTCACCACCCCGCCCCTCACACACACTCAGTGAGTACAGCTGGCACTGACCCTGCAGCAAAAATAAAGACGCTCCCTGGCAGCTCTTCTCGAAAGACATGGAACTTCCGCACCGGAGAACCAAGGCTTTTCATCAAGGCTTGTGGTCCCAGTCAAGTCCTCCTGGCAACCCGGTGGCCTCGGCCTACATGGGTTCCTGTCCCCCTCGCCCACTCGGGTCCGGAGCACCCAGGGAGAAATGCTGCTGGGGAGCTGCCACCTGGTCCATGGATCCTGCATGCAAAGTGCTAGATGTGAGCCCTGGCCGGTGTGGCTCAGTGGATAGAGCGTCAGCCTGCGGACTGAAAGGTCCCGGGTTCGATTCCGGTCAAGGGCATGTACCTTGGTTGCGGGCACATCCCCGGTAGGGGGTGTGCAAGAGGCAGCTGATCGATGATTCTCTCTCATCGATGTTTCTAACTCTCTTTCCCTCTCTCTTCCTCTCTGTAAAAGAAAAAAAAAAAAGTAATAAATATAAAGTTAAAAAGAAATGTACCTTTGTGCCCCTTAGTCATGACCAGAATCTCAGCACAAACCTGGCTGCAGGGAGTGTTTTGCTGCGGACGGTCAGGGACGTTCTGGAAAAGGCCGAATGTTCACTAGCCAGGCACTCACCCATGCCGTTAGGAAAGTCCTGATGTCCTTGTGAACCAGGCAGGGAGCTGGTGCAGCCGTAAGCAGGGAACCGGCGGTCCAAAGAGGGTGGCCTGGCCTTAGCCGGGCTGCAGGGTCAGTCCTGAGTTTTGCGTCTCCCGCAGCGACGCAGATGGGTTATACCGAGGGCGGTGCGGTCAGGCCACATCAACCAAGGGGTATCACTTGCCATTTCCTGACCACCAGCTCCCCTTCCTGAGTACACCGCCCCCCAGTCTTGGGGTGCTAAGTCCAGGGGCTCCCATCCAAGCTCCCCTGAGGAGTGGTGCAGAGATGGGGGAGTGGCTGGCTCCATCCCCCCTCCCTGCCCTCCCAGCCTTCTCTCCTCCCAGACCCCCACGTAGTGAGCACCGGGTTTCTGGGTTTCATCTGTTCCTTCCCGTTGTCTCTCTCTCTCCTGTGCTCCCGTAGACCGTCTCTATCTTAGGATTCTTCGGAACATTTTGTGTCAGCGATCCTAATTTAAATCTCAAATTGCTTTTCAGATTGTGCTCTGATTTTTTTTTTTTTTTCAAATCATCCTCTTCTGGTTCTGTCAAATGTTTCTGAAACGTCTTTGAGCCGACTTTTCTCCTATTTCCTGCCCGTCGTTGTTCCCACCAGGATTTCTTACATCTGATACCTTTGCCTTTCTCACGCTGCTGCATCTGCTCACATCTAGAGCTTTTTAAAAAATCTTTAAATAGATTTTGTTGATTTTTTTACGGAGAGGGATAGAGAGTCAGAAACATTGATGAGAGAGAAACATTGATCAGCTGCCTCCTGCGCACACCCTATTGGGGATGTGCCCGCAACCAAGGTACATGCCCTTGACCGGAATCGAACCTGGGACCGACGCTCTATCCACTGAGCCACACTGGTTTAGGCTATTTATTACTTTTTAAGTATATTTTTATTGATTTCAGAGAGGGGGAGGGAGACGAAAACAAGAGAATATTGTGGACCGGCTGCCTCCTGCGCACTCTGCTGGGGATGAGCCCACAGGCCGGACCTGTGCCCTGACCGGAAACCTAGCTTTGACCTCCTGGTTCCTAGGCTGGGGGGCCAGTTTTCAGTTTAAACATTGACTAGGTTTGTGATGGACTGTCTGTAGGTGTGACATCTGTAAGGAGACTTCCGGTTTCAGCTGACAGGGAAGGGACCGGAAGTCATCCTCCCATCCTCACCAGAAAGGAGCTCAGGAACAGAGCTCGGTGCCTCCCTGGGACCGGCCAGGAGCGGAGGCTGAGAGCAATGGCCGGCCGGGGCTGGAGACGTGGAGCACAGAGAGCAGGGGAGACTCCGGAGCAGGAACCTCTGAAGCCAGGAGGAGCACCTCCACGGGGCCTGACCATGCTGGGCGCGGTGGACTGTGCGTGAGACACGCCTGGGCTGCGGTCCTGGTGGGCAGAGGGCACTGTCCTGGGCACTCCTGGGATCCTGCCAGGGTCTCGCAGTTCACAACCAAGAAAAGGAGTCCCTTCACAGCTCTAACCGAGAGGAGAAATAGCCCTCCACCCTAACACACACTGGCATCCTTCTCCAGGACAAAGGCCAGCCCCAGGGAAAGCCTTTCTGGAGCCTCAGTCACCGAGGGGAAGAAATGGCTGAACAGATTACATCACCCAGGGGAAGCTGTTTGTCCTCTACCAGAGAACTTTCCAATGAGCCAATGCTTTCTACACGCAAGCTGCAGCCCAGTCAGCAGGCCCCTCCCTTAGCCAATGACTAGCTCGGTGTGACTCCGCTATCTGCTCACAGGAACAGCCTCTGACATGGAGGATTCTTTAAGGAGATGCCTACTCAGTAAGCTCTTCTTGCTTTCTCTGGGGACATATATTTGGTTCACAGCATTTTTCAGTATTAACCACTTTTATGATTTTTTTCTCAAAATGAGATCGTTTTCTTATGTTTCAAAGATAAAACTCACATTAGTATTCTCAGGAATAAGAATTATTCTAGGGCTTTATTATTGTGGCTTTAAAATGCACACAAGAAAACTGCACTAGTACCTGCAGATAAATATGGAGGTTGAAGGGAAAGGACTTCTTAGGAAATTATAGGTCCGAGCTGGGGTGTCTCTTAAGCTCCCTCTGCTGGCTACCACTTAACAGAGTAAAAACAAAGCCGAGCCACAGCCTCTTTCTTTGGGGAGCTGCGGGGAGAGGAGATGCGGGTGCAGCGGAGGATGCTGTGGAGGCTAAGCCTGCGGCCGCCTGCCTCCCCTAATGAGGCTGTAGGACTTCCAAACGGAGTTGGCCCAGGGGTAGGTTTAAAATAGGAAGAGTTCTTGTCAAGTCTGAATATGTTAGTCATTAAATCGATATGCAAAACTACAAAAGCATTTAATATAAAATGAAACAATTATAAATGGTTAGCATTTAACACTGGAAAATTAAGAATTTAAATATATTTCACAAACTCCACTAGAACAATATGCTTGTAATATTATATAATCTATTCGTTTAAATATTAAGGTTTATTTTTTTTCCAGAGTGAGATTAAGCAACAATTTAAATAATTATCAGGATGCATTAAATGAACATCCATTCAGATAAAACATTACTGCTTAAAAGTGGATATGAAATATTTTGCATGTAATAAATATATTTAATGTTTAGGTTAACAAGCACCATCTCGAGAGCAGAAAAGTATTTTTTCATAACCAATAAATAAATTACATTCAGGAAAACAAGGTGTTTATATCTGAAGTATCAGATAACTTTAAATGTTTTTCTTAATATAGCACCCAAACTTCCAAACTGTCTAGAAAGTATCTCCCAAAATATAACTCATACCTTCAGTCATAAAAATAAAGGCCAAGAAAAAAATCAATTTAAGACAAAATTTACAATTTATGTTAATTCCCCATTCAATAAAATACCAACTGCCAAATCGTTAAAAGTAAATGAACTGTATATATGCAATCCATTAGTGCTGAAAATCTGAAATATATATTTTTAAAAGTCATTCTTTCTCAAAGTATTTAAAATATTGCATCTCTGGTGGCAAACCTGAAAATTACCAAGCATTTTATTTCCCTCGTTTTCATACTTCTGCTCCCATCCCCACCCCTTTAACCGTCATCCAGCTTTTTTTCTTGCTTTTTTTTTTTTTTTTTTGTAAATACACTTGCTTATATCCCGAACACAAAACACTGACAATCTCCTTGGGAGCCAAGGAAAGCCCGAGCAGCCCAGCCCAGCTTTGCTCCCCAGCGGGGCCCGGGTGCGGGGACAGGAGGCCAGCGCGGCCCTTCCCGAGGCCTCAGGAGGCTCCGGAGAGCCCACGCTGTCTGAGGCTTGGCTGATGCAATCCCGAAGGACGTGTGAACACATTCTGCAGACGAATGTCAGAGAATAAGTCTTTGATTGATAATTTTTCTATTTATTTCTGCCAAGGCGACTGAAAACACAAAAGCCTTTTCATCAGAGAGGTTAGCATAGATGTCAATTTCCTTTTCCTGTTTTTCTGTTAAGAGAAAAAGGGAAAGCTTACTATAAAAGCAGTAGATACAGTGTTTTTGTTTAAAAATTTAAAGCTTTCAAGTTTTTCTTTAAATGACAATATTATACATGATACTACAATGTACATTAAGTATTTCAAAGTATTATGCTACTGAACTGAAAAAAAAATTAATTTCAAAGGAGTTATTGAAATATCATGAACTGTATTCTGAAGACTAACTGGACAGACTATATATATTTCTATATATCTTCTAATATCTACATCATTTCTGTAAGAATCTCAAATTTCTTTCTCCTCGCTAGTATGAGTCAAATGACTCTACCAAAATGAATTTTCTCACCCTAAAGATAGTCTTCCTGAAAATCAATGGTATCTTTGTGACTATATTAACCTCTTCACCTTAGCCTTGCTACCAAATATAATAACATTTATTTCCCTTTTTCCTTTCCTGATTAAAAATGCAATCTAAGTTCACGGTAGAAAAAAAAACTTAAGTACAGAAGGACAAAAAGAAGCACCTAGCTTGTGAGTCAGCATTTTTGTGTACATTCTTCCAAAATTTCACAAGCTCTACCATGATTCCACTTTTGTCTGTTTTTTATGCTATCATTGTTTTGCTCTTTAATCCAAGTTAAACATTCATCTATCTTTTTTTTATTTTTTTATTTTATTGATTTTACACAGAGAGGAATTGAGGGACAGAGAGTTAGAAACGTCGATGAAATACCGACCAGCTGCCTCTTGCACCCCCCACACTGGGGATGTGCCCGCAACCAAGGTACATGCCCTTGACCGGAATCGAACCTGGGACCTTTCAGTCTGCAGGCCAACGCTCTATCCACTGAGCCAAACCAGTCCCGGCACATTCCTCTATCTTAAAGTAAAATTATTTTCACAGAACTGGTTACCAAAGTCACAACTCCTCCTCCCATGCACACTTCCTCTTCTCCACATGCACCCACACTCTTTCAGTTGTTCCTTCTTGTTTTTGCCTTCTGTCTGTAAAGAACATTTTTACATGATGCTACTGCTTGGGTTTTTTGTTTGTTTGTTTGTTTTAGGCATTAACTGACTTTCCCCAGTGGAAAATTAGGATTATACTGTTTTCCATCTCTTGCCCCCACCATGTGCTTCCCTTCCATCTTCCCATTATATCACAATTTTGGTGAGATTACTATTCAATATTCACATTATTCTGACTGTGTAAATGATTTCACTCTACACATACACTGTCTTCCCTGAAAAGATTCTCTTTGCACATCTGCTTAGTTTTCATTACTAATTGAACTGAACTCTCTCCGAGTTGTATAACATTTTCAGAATATTTATACATAATCAGGTATTAGATCAATTTTTCCTCTGGAGTAAATCTCTGCAGGTCTTCTGCTCTGCTCCAATCGGAAATGGTCGCTTTCTGAGCTTACCCACGGCACTTATCATCTGGGGATCTCTCTCCAACATCACGCTGGAGATCCTCCCCTCCCTCTCTCAGGGTGGGCCCTGTGCCCCAATGCCAGCATGCTTTCTTGGCTCACTTCTTCGTTTGATGGCATGTATCTTGCAGTAGGTCCTGAGAAAGGGAGTGTAGGCAGCTAATTTTTGAGACCCTGAAGGTCCAAAACACATCTATAGCCTACCCTCACACCAATTCATGGTGTGGCTGACTAAAGACTCGTAGATTCCCACTCAGTATTATGAAGGCAAAAAACTGTCTTCCATTAACTGGTGCTACTGCTAAACACACACAAAAAAACCCAATACCCCTTCTTACAGTTTAAAAAAAAATTATTGCTAAATCTCAGTGAAATATATAAACCAGTTCTTAAGTGTATAAATGGAAGGATTTTAACGAACACATGCCAATGTAACTCCCATCATACTCCTCTCCCGACAATCCCTCCCCACCCATCAGCAACGACTTCTAGTTCCATCGCCATAGAGTAACTTCGCCTCCTCCTAAACTTCACATACAGGACATCGTACTGGTTTGTGTCGAGCTTCTGCTGTTTAACGTGTTCTTGAAATGCACATATCAGCAGATTGTTCCACTGAATTAGTTCTAATACCATTTTGATTCTTTTGTCTTTTTCCCCTGAATACTGGAGGATTCCTTTAACCAGAGAGATGACTTACGATAATGTGCTTTGGCAGAACTCTACTGTAGCCGGTTATCCACTGAGAATCTGTGGCCGCTTCAATAGGAAACGCAAAGTCCTTCAGGTTTGGGATTTCTTAGATTGTGTCACTGACGACTGCCTTCTCCTGCATCTTCTGTGTTCTTCTGCTGCAATGTCACTGTTTATAGATGCTGATCTCAAACTGGTCCTCTAAATGCCTCGCCTTTCCCATTCTGTTTTTTTCGCCTCGTACCCTATTGTTCTACACGCTGGTACATTTCTTCAATTTTGTCCGTGAGCCTTTGGTGATGGCTCTTCATTTCTGAAAATCATGTGTGTGTGTGTATGTTCATATTTTAAAGTTCCTGTTCCAGGTCCTTTTTTTAGACACGGGCAACTTTTGTTTACATATCATCTTGTTCTTGTTTTATGACTACAATATGTCCTCCTTCTATGAATATTTATAATAGCCTTAATTTTTCTTCTCCCTGCAAAAACTTGTGTTATTCGAATGTTTTTTCTTCCCTGATGACTTGGTCTTCGTCTTGCACACTAGGTGCTGTCTTCCGTACATCCGGGTAATGCTTGGCCATATGCTCATACCTGGGCGCGGACCAAAAAGCTGACTGGCTCCTGCACACAGTGAGCCTGGCGGTGGCCGGCCCTTCGGGACACTGCCTGGACCGGTTCTTCGTGAGCTCAGGCCTTCGCTCTTGGGCTCTTCAGGGCCCCTGGAGAAGATGCTTCTCATCTCGTACCTGGGAGACCAAGCCTTCCTGCAGAACTCCATGCCCACCACCTCCTCTTCTCACCTCACCTCACCTTCACCTTCACCTGGTTATACCCCTGCCCTCAGTGAAGCCGGTGTGCCCTAGGCCAGAGATTCGCTGTGTCTCATCTTTTTCAAAGGATCAACTTGGAGAGAGGTGAGGACGAGGTAAACAGCCTTAATGGGGTATTTTAAAAAACAGTCTTTCAAACAATATTGTTTGTAGCCTCACTTCCTGACATAGCTGATGTGCAAATTCCTCATCGTAAGGCAGTTGTGTAAAAAAAACATTTTTTTCCTTAGCTTTCGCCAAAGGAGCTTACAATTTGTTTCATAGGTGTGCTAAAGCAGTTATCATTTTCCAGAATTTTGCTGTTTCTCCCATTCCTTGTTCTTGTGGGATTTTGCCATTTTTGAAAAATATCCTTATACTAGGATTTGGGGAGGATGCAGAGCTAAATGTGTTTGTTTAAGTCACCATCTTTAACCTGAAGTCTCAGGAATTCTATATGTTCATTAATAAGACATTCAGAATTGCCCAATATATTTTAGTCAAAAATGTCACTACATTACTAATATCCCAAATAATTATACTCCCCACATATAAAATGAAGACTTATCTTTTTTTTATTATTATTATTGATTTTTTACAGAGAGGAAGGGAGAGGGACAGAGAGCTAGAAACATTGATGAGAGAGAAACATTGACCAGCTGCCTCTTGCACACCCCCTACCGGGGATGTACCCGCAACCAATGTACACGCCCCTGACCGGAATCGAACCTGGGACCCTTCAGTCCAAAGACCTACGCTCTATCCACCGAGCAAACCGGTTTAGGCTGAAGACTTATCTTAAACAAACCAAAACTTGTTACATTTAATGATTTGTTTTTATGATTTTATAAAGATAATATTGTTATCTGGATGCCTAACAAGCTTGCGTTCTCTATCCTTCCTTCTTCCTGTTCTTTTTCAAAATATTGAAAACAAGGAAGCCAATTGAAAATGTGTTTTTAGAAACAGTCAGGTTATTCTTATTAAAATAATGGCAAACCTTGCTTCGAACCTTTCAAGTGCCCGCGAGCAGACAATAAAAGCTAAATTAAATAGCTACTTAACACTAAGGAGCATATCAAAGACGTCTATTCTAGTCTTCTCACTGAGCTCCTTTCTGTCGCTCTGTGGCAGTTATGGATTCGCATGAGAAGAGACCATTCACAGAGCTAGCATTATTCTGCCTCCTGTCTTCAGAGCTATATGCTGCTGTTTTGTGAGACATTTTTGCAAAAAATTAAAATTAAAAAAAATAAAATAAATCTATTCTAAAACATATGACACTCCAAAAGTCCTATTTCCTCTCTGTATTTAGAAAACTTGGTCTGCCTCAAAGGTTAGCAAAGTGCAGCCTCGGTGCCCCGTCTGGCCCACCACCTGTTTTTGCCAAGCCTGACTGGCACACGCCCTGCCCGTTCATTTACATGGTGCCGATGGCTGTTTTCCAGCTGCGATGACAGAGCAGAGTAGCTGTGAGAGACTGTGTGGCCCACAAGGCCTGGAACATTTATCTGGCTCTTTACCATCCACCCCACCCCTGGTCTACACTGAAAGATTGGTTTATTCTGCCAAAGTTTTGAGCACTTTCCAGTTTGTATTAGGAGCAAATAAATTAAGCCATATTTTATTCTAGAAATCATTTCTTAAAACTGTTTTTATAATAAACTTAAAATACCTGAAAAAATGTATAGCCAAATCAACGCTTCTTTCTCCCAAGTCACCATGGAAGGAAAGTACGAACCTGCATATCAGGTCCTGGTCCACCCAGACTCACTCCCTGTCTGCTCCCCACCGCGCCCCTCCACTGCAGCATTCCTTCTCTCTTCCTTCGGTTCCATTCCCTTTACTTCGGCTGGAAGAATGCTGTTTTCTGGGCCAAGCAGTATTTTCCTCTCTCCCTTTTTTCTGTGACTTTATTTCCCTGGTAGCATTGATCTTTCTATCACCCCCTGTGAGAGCAACACATTCAGACTGAGGAAATAACTCAAACTCCGGGAGAGCAGTAACAGACGGAAAGAGAAAAAGCAGTGAAACTGCTCAGGAACGAACGAGTAAGGACAGTCTTCACAGAAGCCAGTCAAACACAATACAAATGGCATTCCCCAAGCCATACAACAGAACACCTTCACCCTGACAAAAGTTAGGGACAGCTGTACCAGTGAAGTCATTTTCCCTAGCAGCTGTTACTTTACTCAATTAAAAGCAGAGAAAAATGATAAACAGGTAAAACTTTCTCAATGTCTTAAAAAAAGAGAAGTTTATATTTATGCTCAATATTTGAATACCTACGACTGAATATCTGAAAAAGCAGAGCATAACTCATAAATATCTAAGAAACACATTTCACTGAAAATAAAGTTACTTTACGAGGTTTTTAAAGAATTGTAAAGAGCAACCATACTGAAGAACTTTTTCAATAGTTAATTTTAAAAACTCATAGTATAGCAGTTTGAAATGTCTTAATAGAACCCACTTTTACCTTAAAAAAAATAAAAGCACAACCACTTGAACAGGATGTCACATACACATTATTATCTCTGAACTCTACTATCATCAATCATAGCAAGGTGAATATTACCTAATTTAAGCCTTTAGTTTTCTAATAAAAATTACATTGATGAGCAACGTCAACATCAACTGGCTGCTTCCTACACACCCCCTACTGGGGATGGACCCTGCAATCTGGGCATGTGCCCTGACCGGGAATGGAACCAGAGATCCCTTAGCGCACTGCTGATGCTCAGCCATTGAGCCATACTGGCCAGGCGAGGAAATGGGGATTTTTAAGGCCAGGAGCTCCATGCCTGGCTAACACTTCCTTTGAGGCTAGCTCAGTAGGATCTTAGGAACACGGAGTGTGTGGCAACAAGCTGCTTGGGTCATCATACCTCTTTCTTCCTCGTGTTTTTTGGCAGATGCACTCTTAGGTCTTCCTCGGCCTCGCCTGCTGTGATCTGAGTGGCTGTTGCTCCGGGACCTCTTTCTGTTTTCTAAGTCCTTATTTCCTGTCGGGTGCATCTTCTCTCTCCTGGCTCTCTCTGTGCGCCTCCTCTTGGCCTCGTGCTTGTTCTCTGGATGGGGAATAAAAGTGATATATTTTAGGGCTTTAGCAAGAACTGTTTGCCCAAATTCTCCCTCTCTTCCTTTTTCTTTCTAAAAGCACTAGTTTGCTGCCTGGCAAATTTCATTAAACTGCCACCATGACATTTATGCCCCTATTAGCCACACAGGAAAAAAGAAATTCAACAGCATTTAGGTGACCCATGGACACATGAGGGAAGTCTTAAAACAGAACACTTTTCTTTACTTGGCACCTTTAACTCCAGCCCCTACAAGCCTGCACAACTCGCCGAAACCGATTTGGCTCAGTGGTAGAGCGTCGGTCTGCGGACTGAAAGGTCCTGGGTTCGATTCCGGTCAAGGGCATGTACCTTGGTTGCGGGCACATCCCCAGGAGGGAGTGTGCAAGAGGCAGCTGGTCGATGTTTCTCTCTCATTGACGTTTCTAGCTCTCTATCTCTCTCCCTTCCTCTCTGTAAAAAAATCAATAAAATATATTAAAAAAAAAAAAAAAAAAAAAAAAAGCCTGCACAACTCCACAGTGACCTTTCTGCTCTTTCTCTCTGCTTCCAAGCTAAAAAGGGTGACGTAGTAGAAAAGAAGGTGGGGGGGGGGGGGTCATTCTTTTTTGCCACTATGCAAATTATGTGTTGAAATATGTCAAGTATGCAGAAGCGAAACTGACCTTGCCATAATATATTACAGTTACCAATAAAAAACAAACAGAAAGCATCCACAGAAAATATAACACTAGGAAACTAAGTAGTTTTCCTCACCTTAGCCACAGAGGAGGTCATTTCTGACATTCTAAGAACATGCTGATCCGTAAATGGAACAGCAACAGAGGCACTTGACTCAATATGGTCATTTAATTAATACAAGAAACCACCCTCTCACTCCAAACAAATCAAAATGATTTGATTTGATAAGACAACAACAATTTTTAAACAGCAAAACCCAAAACTTGCTTTAATCCATCCATACCTGAAAAGAAAATTCCCCAAATGCTTAAAAATTACTGTGGGAGAGGCAAATCACTGCTACAAAACGCATGAACTTGGGAAGCATTAGGCTAACTGAGCTAAGCCAGACACAAAGGACACACACCACAGGATTCCACTTTCAGGAAACAACAGTAGTCAAATTTACAGGCACAAAAAGGAGAACAGTGGTAACCTGGGACCGGGGGGTGGGGGGTGAGGGTGGAGGGATGAGGGGTTACTGTTTAAGGGGTACAGGGTGTCGGTCTGCGAAGATGAAAAGAGTTCTAGAGATGGATGGTGATGATGGTTAAGTACACAATAAGAATGTACTTAATGCCACTGAACTGTGCACTTAAATGATCAAAATACTAAATTTTGTATATGAATTTATCTCAATAAAAGATGAAAAAATAGCCAAAACCGGTTTGGCTCAGTGGTAGAGCGTCAGTCTGCGGACTGAAAGGTCCCAGGTTCGATTCCGGTCAAGGGCATGTACCTTGGTTGCGGGCACATCCCCAGTAGGGGGTGTGCAAGAGGCAGCTGGTCGATGTTTCTCTCTCATCGACGTTTCTAGCTCTCTATCTCTCTCCCTTTCTCTCTGTAAAATATCAATAAAATATATATTTTTTTAAAAAAGATGAAAAAATAAGATTTGATAAAAAAGAAGAAAACAAGATGAACTGCTAAAAATTAAAGTGCAAAAGACACACTAAAAAACAGCATGTCTGCAGACCAAATTAGACCTAGAAAGGAAATTCAATTAAAGTTCCTGGAACAAAGCAGAAGGACAAAAAGAGAGAACATGTGACAGCAAGTGAAGAGAAGGGAGAAAGGCCCAAGAACCCAATGCCGCTCACCTATGACAATACTGTAATTATCTACCCAACACTCAGCCTCCCTCTGGATAAGAACAGCGTCCTGTGTGTTCCTAGGACGATGTGCCCGCTAACAAACACATCTGAGACTCCTCGTGTGAGCGGCCATGAAATGCAGCCTGGCAGTGACCCGCCAGTGGAGGAGTGAGGTTTCCAGAGAGATTTTTTCAGGGGACAAGCATGGCTGGCTCGCCCCTCTGCCTTCCCTCTTCTTCCTGCTCAGGGTGCTCGTGGGAGGCCCCTCCTCACAGGTGAAAGCCGCAGCCTCTCAGGAGGGAGAAGGACCCAGGTCCTGATATCACTGAGCCCAGTCCTGTGGGGCCGCCGTCATCTTCCTCACTAAGCTGTGACGGCAAACTCTGTCCAACCAGGGCCAGGCAGGTGTGCTGTGGATGGTGATCCTTATATGTCACCCAGGAAGTATTGCCAAAAGGAAAAGGAAGGATGATGGCGGGGAATATACAGAGGTAAAAACTGCCTCAGCTGCAGCCTGGAGCGTTCCAGAGGAAGAATGGGAACACTTAATGCAAAGTAAAGGTATTCCCCATCACCACATTTTTTCATAAAAATTTTTCCAGGTCTGAAACAATTTCTGCAAAATTTGTTCCAGAGACAAAAACACAAGGGTAAAAAAAAAAAAAAAAAAAAGGGTGCATACGAAAAAGTGGGATTATCCCTGGAGTACAATGGAAAGAAATCTTAGTTTGACAGTGTGCAGCTAACCTTAAACCATTTTTTTTTAGTTTATTTTTATTGATTTCAGAGAGGAAGGGAGGTGGAATGAGAGAGGTAGAAACATCAATAATAAGAGCATCGCTGATCGGCTGCCTCCTGCACTCCCCACTGTGGAGGGAGCCCACAGCACACAATCAGTATGTCTTCTGCAAAGGCCTAAAGCTTCTTCATCAGAAGTCAGAGGATCTATTTAAAAGGTCTTAAAGCTCAGCTGGTGTGGCTCAGAGGTTGAGTGTCAACCTATGAAACAGGTCATGCCTGGTTCCCGGCCGGGGCACAGGCCCGGACTGCGGGCTCTAGTCCAGTAGGGGGCATGTAGGAAGCAGCTAATTAATGATTCGCATCCATTGATGTTTCTCTCTCTCCCTCTCCTTTGCCCTCTGAAATCAATAAAAATATTTTTAATTAAAAAATTATCTTTGCCGGGACCGGTTTGGCTCAGTGGTAGAGCGTTGGCCTGCGGACTGGAAGGTCCCAGGTTCGATTCCGGACAAGGGCATGTACCTTGGTTGCAGGCACAAACCCAGTGGGGGGGGTGCAAGAGGCAGCTGGTTGATGTTTCTCTCTCATCAACGTTTCTAACTCTCCCTCTCAATTCCTCTCTGGGTAAAATCAATAAAATATATTAAAAAAATAAAATAAAATAAAAAATTATCTTTTATTGCTTTGACTTCACTTTTTAAGTTAGTACAATTTTAGGTTTAAAGATGGCTCTTTTTTATTAAATCCGAACTTCTTATTCTGTTTACAAAGTCCTACTTAATCTGGCCCCTGCCTAACCTCCGGCCTCATCTCCACACTCTCCCGCTGACTACCCTGCAAGCACATCAGTCTTCATGTTCCTAAAATATACCAATCTTTTTCTAGCCTTAGAATTTCTGCATCTGCTATTTCATCAGTCAAGAATGTTCTCCCTGATCTGATCATGACTAGTCCCTTGTTCCATTCAGCCGCACCTTAAATGGCACTTCTCAGAGGCCTTCTCCAACCATTCAGTCAAAGGAGCCTTCTATGCCGAGACCAGTTTGGCTCAATGGATAGAGCGTCGGCTTGGGGACTGAAGGGTCCCGGATTCGATTCCGGTCAAGGGCATGTACCTTGGTTGCGGGCATATCCCCAGTGGGGGGTGTGCAAGAGGCAGCTGATCGATGACTCTCTCTCATTGATATTTCTAACTCTCTATTCCCTTCCTCTCTGTACAAAATCAATAAAATATATTTAAAAAGACAAAGGAGCCTTCTAGTCACACGCTGGCACAGTCCTCATCTGAATTTCCTACATGGCACTTATCACAAGCTGATATTCTCCGCCGATTTGTTCACTACCTCTCTCCTGCTCACAGGAGCATTAGCTCCATGACAGCAGCGAGCCGCCTCTATAGGACAGACAGACAGTCATTCATTCATTCATTCATTCACTCATTCATGGCCAAGGCTCTGAATAGTGCCTAGCATACAGCCGGTGCTCAGAACATATTTGTAATCAACCTACTTTTATTTGAGGATCATGGCTATATGAAGTCTGATTTTACCAAAGAATAAGTATCAAAATTTCATCTTTTAATAAGTATATCCATTGAATAAATCCAATCTGTCCAGTTAATGGGAATGTAAAATAAGATTATTTTTTAGATCTTCTAAATAAAGGAGTTATAAACAATAACCAATGTGTCTAAAAATTACATTCACACCAAATCAGCTATTATTTTTTCCAGTCGCTAGTTTAAAACCTCGAAAGTTGTTATAAATTTTATCAGCATGATGAAGGAAAAAAACAAATGTCCATCAACCGGTAACTACAAAAACAAATTAGGGCATATCCATGCAGAGAATACTACTAAGCAATAACAAGGGTACTTTTTCTTGATGTAAACAGCGTGGTTGAGTCTTAAACTAGCTCAGTGAAAGCAGCCAGACAAAAAGGAATACATATTACATGATTCCATTTATATTAAGTTCTAGAACAGTGACAGGAAACAGAGCAGCAGGTATCTGGGGCTGGGGCAGCAACACTACAAAGGGAACGAGGAAACTGGGAATGAAGGACATGTTCATCATCTTGACCGTGGTGACTGACTGGCGTGAACATGACAGACTAATCACACTGTGGAGTTTACATATGTGTCACTTGTTGAACGTCAATTATACCTTAGTTGTTTTGTAAATCAAATCGTACACACGCTTGCATTAAAATCCTTCAATGGCTCTCCGCCCTCCAAAAACAGAAAATTTGTTACAAGCTTACCAGCACGATAAGGGATTATCATTTAAATGAAGGAACAGCAAACTAATGTCATAAGCTGACTTCCAACAGCTAATAAAAACCAGACACACTTCAATAGATTTTAATATGACTTCAACAAAAATGTAAATAGCAAATTCACACAAAAAAATTAAATTTCTACATCAAATCTGAAAATGTGGTAAGCTCTCAATTACCTGTTGAAGGTGGTGATTTCTCTGGGTGCTTTGCATTTAAAAGTTTTCTGCTAATAAATATGTAACCACAGGGACATGACTTACATGCAACAGGAACCTGTAGAAAAAAAAGAAAAAAATATATTATTACTATTTTTCTATTGTTAACCTTCCCAATGTTTACAAAGTCTCCTAAACGGAATGATAAATTACAGTAGGAATCATAGATTTATTTAAGCCCCAGCTCCATACAACAAATTATTTGAGCTCGGTATTGTGTCCTATACATCTTCATATTTCCCTAAGGCTTTACAATGCCATGACTATGTAAATGAATAAACAACATGTACTGAGGAAAGTGACCAATAGGAAAGCATATTAGAACCAAAGCCAGGAAAAACATGTGAAAAGGAAAGGTAACATTTCTTAAAAGATTAGTTAGCCAGGCCACTGTGGCTCAGAGGCTGAGTGTAGACCTAAGAACCAGGAGGCCATGGTGGATTCTGGTCAGGGCACAGGCCCGGGCTGGGGGCTCCATCCCCAACAAGGGGAGTGCAGGAGGCAGCCGGTCCATGATTCTCTCTCATCACTAATGTTTCTCTCTCTCTCTCCCTCTCCCTCCCCTTCCTCTGTGAGATAAATAAAAATATATTTATAAGGGGGGAAAAAAGATTACTTTGCTAGCTGGTACCTCTTGGCAAGACTGCAACTAGTGATGTTTGTACAACCAAAGACTCTATTTTGTAGTTTAAGGGGGAAAAATTGACTATGTTTTACTTTCCGGAAAGAAAAAAAGAAAAAAAGATTAGCTTGATAGCAGTTTACATAGAACAAAGTGGGAAGGGAAACGTGGCCGGGAAGCCATTAAAATAATCCCAGCATAAGAGCATGAGGGCCCAGCGGGAAACAATGGTAAGAAGGGAGATGGAGAAAAGTAAATCTCTGCCAGACCCTCCAAGAGAAAGAAAGAACTGAAAATGACTCAGGTTCTTACATGATAAGGTCAGATGCCAATTGCCAACAACACACACATACACACACTAGTTTTCAGTAACCAGTTTGAGGGCAAAATTACATTACATTACAAGCCAAAGAGAACGCAGGAGAAAGTAGTAGTTGAGATCTAGGGTCACAGAGTCTCAGCTCCAGAGAGGACAATGGATGGAACAGCGTGCCTGGACTCTGAGAAAGAAGGTACCCACTGAGAAGGCTCAAGGCTCACTGGGCTCAAGATTATAAAATGGAACCTGCCAGCTGTTTCCACGCCTGGCCACTCGGACCAGCTGTTCCAGGGATAACATCTCCACCAACAACCAGAGCGGCTCCATTCTGACGAAGAAGGACAGTGCTTCTGGGACCAAACGAAGGAGAGAAACTAGTCCTCGTTTGCACCAGGAAGAACCAACTGGCCGGGCCAGGGCCAGGGCCTTCTCTAAGTCAGCTCCCACCCCTTTCCACTGAAGACAAGACTGATTCCCCAGCTGGAGATGAACCACCACAGCCGCCTCCCCACCCGAGGGGAGAACAGGCAGAGCCGGGCAGACCAGCTGTCTGGCCAGAGGGCCTCGCCCAGCCACCTCCCAGCGCACTGCTGCCTGACTGAGCTGGAACACCGTGTCCCACCACCCAGAGCTGTGTGCACTGATAATGTCTCTTTCTCCACCGCTCTCTCTCCAAACTGGGCTTCCTATTGGTGTTCAATCGGCGCCAACAACCATCAGCTGACAACACTTAAACTCTTCACGCTTCTACTTCTAACAACGTAAAATACAAATGGCTCCTTTCTCCATTTCAAATGTTCTTGAAAATTATTGAAAAAAATTTTACATTTCCCCCAATAACCTAATTACATTTCACTAAATCAACCTACTGATCCTTGGAGTCATGTTAATAAAAAACCAGACATGTTAATAAAAAAAACCACAGAAATTAATCTCAACAAAAAATACTCAGAATAATTAGTCAGAAAAATTGCAATTCCCTTTGTAAGATAAAATTAATTTTCCCATTGCTCTGCTTGTTAAAAAGTTTAGTTACGATCATAAAGCTTTTTATCTGTGTATGTGTGAAATGCCTCATACTCTAGATAGGGGTGTCAAACTCAATCAGAGAAGGGGCCAAAATCTAAAATCCAGCCTAAATCGCGGGCCGAATGGTTTACTGAACAGTCATAAACTGTCATTGTGATGGAAACGCAGCGGAGTGCAGTGATGACAGCGCGGTGCGGGCCACATTGCAAGGCCTGGTGGGACGGATTTGGCCCGCGGGCCTTGTGTTTGACACATGTGCTCTAGAATATACTTTCATTAAGCTAAATTTAAAAATTTGGCAGAATTCTTTTTCTTTGCATAAAAAAAAAAAAAACTGAACAAAGGATACCTAGTTTGAATTTAAGAAAAATAACAATAAATCCTACAAAAACAATCAAAATCCAGATGTCTAACAGCTTGCTCTATTTTAAAATGTGATGAGATTCTTTCAAACCATGACAGAAAATGTAACATTACACTTTTAATAGTGTAAAACCTGCCCAAAATAGATGTTTGTCATTTTAAAAATTTCACATCTTCATAGAAACCAAGCTAAGAGGCACTGACTCACTTCCCTTACCCTTAGTCACATCGTTAAGGCAGTCACGGGACTGTGAACTGTTTTAAATTAACGCCGTCAGAGCCGCAGAAAACCTGATGTGCTTACTTAGAGACCCCTCTCCGCAGCAAGCACTCTCCTACCTGCTGAAAGTCACTATGTTTCCAGTTAAGTCTCTGTCCTCTACAATAAAAAGTATCAGCCCACATCCGGAATCAGCAGATTGCTACAGTTAGATGAGAAATGTACATGTGGCTTAGGGATGAAGAATACACAATTCTAACTACTTAATAGGTTGATTTTCATCCCTTAATGCAAGTGTTTTATGCTCAAGAAACATTCAATGCACCTGAGCTAAGTCACCTAAAGTCCTTTCCAAAAAGGAAGGTTCCTTTCCACGACCCCAATCCATATACACACACTCACACACGCCCCTACACACACACACACACACACACACACACACACACACACACACACACACACCAAACACCACCAAAACCCAAATCCTATAAAAATAATTATTAAATAGGGTAGACAACTTCATTAACCTCTTTATAGTATAATTTGGATTTTAAACAGCCTAAATAAAATTCCTTCAAATTTCAGTTGCAATGTCAAAGATATTGAAAGTTCTAATGCCATACTTTCAGGAATTTAAAATAGGAAAAGAAATCCTGATGTGGCTCAGTTGGCTGAGCATGGGCCTATGACCCAGGAGTTGACGGTTCGATGCCTGGTCAGGGCACATGCCAAGGCTGTGAGCTCCATCCCCAGAAGTAGGTGGTGTGCAGGAGGCAGCCGGTCAACGATTATCTCTCGTCATTGACATTTCTCTCTCTCTTCCTCTCCCTCTCCCCCTCCCCCTCTCTGAAATCAATAAAAATATATTTAAAATAAATAGAAAAAATCCAAAATTTTATTTACTGATGGCTTATTGTGTATCAACTTATTTCTTGAAAAGTGTATTTAGGTTGTTCGTATGTTTTACAAGTAAAACAGATTTAAAAAAACTACCAAAAAAAAAAATCCTGTTCCTTTATTGTTTCAGTGATTTAAAAAAGCTCTAAAATTACCTAATTATATTCTTTGCTGCTAAAAAAAAGTTACTTATTGTGGGCATGTTTGCTATGACACATAAAATTTCTTATAAATGAAAAAACAAACAGCTGCTCTATTTTTAAAAATTAAGACAAAAACAGAAACAGACAAAAATACCAGAAAAGTCACTAGAATCATCAATAGTATTAGCTTAGTAATTTGGGCCTAGTGGATGTGAAAATGAAAAGTATTGTGGTTTAGATGTTTCAGAACTATATCATCAAATGGAGGCATTTAAAAGGGATGTTCAAAAACAACTAAAAATCTAGATCTGTCTTCTTTGCTGCTCTCTCTCTACCTGTTTTTTAAACTTACATATTTAATGGGGGCCATCTCCTCAAATTTTGAAGATTTTTTAAATTTTCAATTGAGTTTTAGAGAGGGGGGGGAAACATCTGTGCGAGAAACAGTCATCAGTGCCTCCCACACCGCCCTAGGAGATGGTACTCCAACCCGGGAATATCCCTGACCCGGAATCGAACCCACCGGGATGACACGCCGACCAACTGGACCACACAGGCCAGTGGGCTTGTCCTCGCTATCCCTCTTAAGATTTTACATTTGTATTTATAAATTGAATTTGCATTTAACATTTCTAAACTATGTAGTAGCTTGCTAGGGACTGAGCTGTGTCCCACCTCCCTTCCCAAATTCTCACACGGAAGCCCTCCCCCCAATTGGCGGGGTCTGGAGGTGAGATGATCTGGAGATGAGGTGGTGAGGTCACCTCAGGAGACTGTGCCACTAGAATAAGAGACACCAGCCAGCTCCCTGCCAAGACCTCGGCCAGCCAGCTCCAGACCGGGAGGAAGTAAGCCGTTGGTTGAATCACCAGCTGTGGTATTTCACGGCAGCGAGGGGGGCGATCGCGTGTGCAAAGCCAAAGGGCTGTCTGCGCTCTTCCCAAATAGCACGCTGACCACCTTTGGCTGGACAGTTCCAGGACTCCTTAAGCTTATTATTCTCTCCTCTTTCTTTAAAAGGGTATCAAAAGCGGGTCATTTTCCCCAGAAGGTTCCTTCTTGCCAAGTAAAACATGGTCGGGATTCGCAATGACTTGCACCCAACAGAACACTGGGATGCGTCCCGCATGCCAGGAAAACCTCACTCCGCCCTCTGCGCCGGGATGGACGGGAATGACTGAACCACTGAAATAAGCCCCTGCAAAGCAACTCCAGTAGCTGTGTCCTAATGTCAGAACTTCACAAACCACTGAATGGAAGAATGGGTAAGAATGGAAATTGAGCCGAGACCTGTGTGGCTCAGTGGATAGAGCATCGGCTTGGGGACTGATAGGTCCCGGGTTCGATTCCAGCCAAGGGCATGGACCTTGGTTGCGGGCACATCCCCAGTGGGGGGGGGGGGGTGCAAGAGGCAGCTGATCGATGACTCTCTCTCATCGATGTTTCTAACTCTCTATCCCTCTCCCCTCCTCTCTGTACAAAATCAATAAAATATATTTAAAAAATAAAAATAAAAGAATGGAAGTTGAGCTCCTCACTTTGGAAGCCGCGGCCGCATCGTGTGTAGAATGCGTCCTCAAACTCCCGCCGACACCCGGGCGGATCAGAACCCCGCCGGCCCAACAGGGTACCGGGTGCAACACGCACTCGGTTTCTGCCACGAGGGCTGCTCCGCGGAAAAGACCGCTTGCTCCTCCAAGAATGCGCGAAAAGCCGGCTTATGAGAAGCCTCCAGCCATTCCAAATCACTCCCGATCAAAACCACGAAAATAAGGGGGCGGGGCGGGGCGGGAGGAGGAAGGTAGTCATTTTGAAAAAACTCTCTCGGTGGAAAAGAAGGAAAAAAACAAGAAAACACCCAGATCCGCACGCGGGCATGAAACGAGAGCCTCGCGACTGGTTCTCACTGAGTTTCAGCTCCTTAGACTGCGGCCTCGGAGGGAGAGGAGGGCGCTCCCACCCACAGCAAACGGGCATTTCACAGCACAGCCCCACTCCAGGGCTCTGCCAGAGGCAGTCACTTAGAATGCTGGGACCGTCATTTACATAATGTACACATATAACACATATAAATAATTTATATATTATTATTATTAATTTTTGACCGGGAGTGATGTGCAATGGCCGGGACGCATCCTGAGGGAGCATCTGTCCCCCTCGGTGTGCGGGCCGGGGGCAGGGAGGACGGGAGGGCCTCCGGGGCGTCGGTCCGGCGGGTGGAACCACGGAGAGGAGGCCCGCGCCGCCAGCCAGGCCGTCTGTTCGGAAGGAAAAGGAGCGCCAGCCCCGCCGGCACACGGCCCCGCGGCCCCGCCGTCAGGGGCGGGCGGGCGCCGGGCGGGGGCCGCGGGGCGGGCCCGGGGGGAACAAAGCCTCCTGCGGGCAGGGCGGGCGCGGGCCGCGCTGTCAGCCGAGCGGCCGGGCGGGGGCCGGCCCACGCCCCCTCCGCGCCGCCGCCGCCGCGGGCCGCCCCGCCGCCCTGGGGCGCAGCCCGCGGGCCGGGCGCCCCGGGGCCCCGAGCCCACAGGCCGGCCCCCGCCCGGCCGCCGCGACCACAGCCAACCGCCGCCGGCAACGGCCGCCCGCCCGCCGCCCGCCGCCCACCTGTTGGTCGCACTCGGGGCACGATTTGGTGGCCATCTTCACTTTCTTGGCGCGGCTCGCGGACATGCTCCCCTCCGGCGGCGGCGGCGGCGGCGGCCTGGGCTCCTCCCCTCGCACCGAGGCCCAGCCCCGCCCGCCGGTCCCGCGGCCCCGGCCGACGCGCTGCCCGGTGCGCGCGCGCGTGCGCGAGGGTGGGCGGAGCCTGCGTGCGAGGGGGCGCGGCCGGCGTGCGAGGGGGCGCGGCGTGCGAGGGGCGTGGCCGGAGTGCGAGGGTGCCTCGGCGATGGGCGTGGCCTGTGTTCGGGGGCGTGGCCTGTTGTCAGGGGCGCGGCTGCAAGGGGGCGTAGCGCGACGTGGCGTGCGCTAGCTCCGTGGGACTCGGGACCGCGCTCCCCCCCACCCACCCACCCACTCAATCCCATCAGGATTCAGGGGCAGATGGCCGGACCTTCCCGCGAGATTATGGCCACGCCTTCTCTCGGTTAGGCGAACAGTGGAGGCGTGGCTCGGACGAGATTTGACAAGACGGGCATCTGGCTCGACCAATGAGTGCACAGAACACCAGTAGGTGCTGGCCACGGAAGGAAGGAGAGAGGGAGGGGGAGAGGGGGAGGAGGGCTGTCGCCCCGGTGGTTAGTTAGTAACTGTTAGTAAGTAACTGCATTTAGTTAGTAAGTTTAATCATTGCGGAGCTTAGACATCTGATGAGTCTCCTCTATGCCAGGCCCTGGGGTCAGCGCCGCGAGATACAATATTCGTTGTCCAATATTTATCGAGGGCCAGTCTGCCACACGAATGGGAATACGTACTAGGAAGTGCTGAACCTAAGAATCACCTAACATTCCACTCCTGAGGAGTTGGGTGGCTAATGGGAAGAGTGAAGTGGTTGAAATCCACTTATTTATTTATGGAAATAAGTATCCTGAGGTGAGGATTTTAAAAAATATGTTTAAAGACTAATAACATTAAATATTAGTGAGAGGGAGTATAAAATGGTGCAATCATGCTGGGAAAATTAAATATACACATAGCCTCGGACTCAGGTGCTCCAATTTCAGGTATTTACCCGAGAAATGTAAACACATGTCCACAAAAAGCCTCTGCAAGAATATTCATAGCAGCTTTATTCATAAAAGCGAGAGGATCACTGTAAAATTCAAGTATATAAAGTATACTTGAACATGTTTGGACATTTTCACAAGTTAGAGAAAACAAAACCTACTTATTTAAAAAACTGTTCATTTGGCTTTTAACTACTTGCAATAACAAAACAAGGATTTTCTACAAAGAGGACGAACCTGGCCCTCGCATTTACTCATTCACTGAACAAACATTAACAGGTGTCTCATATGCACTAGACTCACGCATGTGCACCCCGGGTTGCTCCTCACCCTCCGGAAGAAGCCTGTCCCCAGGTCCGAGTGCCAGTCCATCTCCGGGCTCAGCCGGGATCTAGGAGGTGCCAGGGTGAACCATATGAAATTGCCTTCTGTAGGTCAAAAGGAAAATGCTGTATTTAAAAACAACAACAACAACAAAAACCCAACAGCTTCATTCAACCTAAAATATGCACTGATAGCATTAGCTGCTTTCTCCAAGTGATAAACATCTCCCAATATTAAAGGATATAGACTACATTTATAAAATCCAGTCCTGTTAAAAGATATTCATTCCGGCTTCTCAGTCGGAGAATGTTCTGTTTCTTAGTTACAATGACAAGGAGCGTGGTGGACTGTTTTACCAGGTCAGGGAGCCTGATGGACCGCTAGTTCCTTCGCTCGATGCAGGCGCCTCCCCGTGGCGCTCTGCCGTCCGAGGTCACCTGTGGCCACGGGAAGGCAGACCACGCCAGGCGATTCGGTCCGTGAGTTCCGCTGCATGACAACGCGAGCTCGCTTTAAAACGGTAAAAGCGATCTGGGGTAACAAGCAGTGGGGTAACACCACCAACTGGTACCAGATCCTTTTTTTGGTTGAACGGCGATTTTGACATGTTTGGGAACTTCATCAACATCCAACCACTGTCCAGATCGGATCACTTTCAATTTCATTTCTGTCGCACTCATGACGCCGCATCAAGTCTCTCCAACTACCTGTTTATGGTCACCCATCAACGGCTGTCACCCACTCGTCCAGCTTTTTCACCTTCCCGATGGCGGCCAGGTGTCGAGAAATGGTGGTGGTGGACACGCCGAGGTCGGCGGCGAGGCCCCGGATGGCGTGCTTGGGGTTGGCTTCCACCAGGGCTCGCAGCTGGTCCTGGTTGAGGACAGACCTGGGTCTCCCGCGAGGCTCGTTTTTCAGACTCAGGTCCCCCGAACGGAACTTCTCGAACCACCAGCGGATCGTCCTCTCGTTGACAGCGCCTTCTCCAAAGACGGAGACGATGTTCCGGCTGGCCGTGGCCGCGCTGTGGCCCAGTTTAAACTCGTATAAGAAAAGTATTCGCAAATCCTGCGGAGACATGGTTTTGCTCGCTTCTGTGGAGAAAACAAACAGGAGCTCAGTCATCGAAGACGGCTGAAGAGCACGCCATCGACACGGACCCTAAACAACACGAGCGAGCAGACCTGACACCTACTTCCGTCAGTTACATGCGGCGGCCGGCAGCAGCAATCTCATTCAGAGGGAAGTGCTCGGAGCACAGTTTCTATGCGGTGGATGTTATGTTGGAGTCTTTTGGTTTTCCCATAGGGATCCAACTGCCAGTAATTTCATAAACATCTACCACAGAAAAAAAATTATTTTGAGCCCTAACTGGTTTGGCTCAGTGGATAGTGTCAGCCTGTGGACTGAGGGGTCCCAGGTTCAATTGCGGTCAAGGGCATGGACCTAGGTTGCAGGCACATCCCCAGTAGGAGGTGTGCAGGAGGCAGCTGATCGATGTTTCTAACTCTCTATCCCGCCTCCCTTCCTCTCTGTAAGAAATCAATAAAATATTTTTTTTAAAGGAAAAATTATTTTGAACTAAAATATGAGTTGTGCTGCCCTAGCTGCTTTGGCTCAGTGGATAGAGCGTCAGCCTGTGGACTGAAGGGCCCCGGGTTTGATTCCGTCAAGGGCATGCACCTTGGTTGCAGGCAAATCCCCTGTGGAGGGTATGCAGAAGGTGGCCAATCAACGATTCTCTCACATCATTGATATTTCTCTCTCTCTCTCCCTCTCCCTTCCTCCCTGAAATCAATAAAATATATATTCAAATATATGAGTTGTGCTTTGAGACCCAGGAACTCACACCTTCCATTTTTTTCAGTGCTCTCAAATTAAGATCTCAGATCGATGTGATGCTTGGAAAAACATCCTCCCATGATGGACTGGTAAGCAGCTGTTCCTTATACTTTCTGAGTGTTTTTAGGTCTGCCTCCTCCCTGTCTCAGGCGATCTGAATGACTGCCACTTAACAGACTCCCCATCTTCTTTTAGCCTCTCTATTTCACTGCTCTTGGCTTCAGACTTAATTTTGGTGTAGACGAGTAGAAATAACTTACTTTAGGGACGTGAAAGAACCGTTTGCCTAAGTTTGCACCCCACCCCAGCAGTCGCATCTTTTAAATGGCTCTATAGTCCACAGCCCAGTAACACACAACCATAACACAACCTTTCCTACACTCATCAAAAGTTGTTTTTTAAAAAAGGAAGAGAAATTCAGCAGAATTCAATTCTGGGCAAATTTGGGGGGAAATCGTGGGGCAATAAGCAGGATTTCTCTTTCAACACCTTTAATTCCAGTCCCGTATAAATACACATCCCTTCCCAGAAACTGTTCTGCCTTCCAAGATGATGAATACCCTTGCTTAATTTCTAAGTTACACTATTTCAAATAAGTCAATAATTAATCTTCTGCTACAAGAGCAGAAAAAATGTGACCTCAACCATAAATACTGTTACAAAATATATATATATATCTTGCAAACTATAAGGTATTAGGAAAGTGGATAGCTCTATTTTAGTTTCTAATATCCTGAAAGCAATTTACCCTATTGTTCCTAATGGCCCTGACATTGAGGAGAAAGGTTTCCTGTCGATATACAATAGATTTAATTAATGCAAGAAGCCAGCTCTTCTACTTCAAACAAACATGCTGTTGAGATACAATCAAAGACAAAACTTGTTTTACTACAGATCTAAATCCAAAAGCAAAAGATTTTCCCAAATGCATAGGGGGGCAGGGAACCTCAAAGCCACACTGTGGTGAGAGGTCACGGGAATAGAATTCATACCTCAGAACTGCATACAAATAATAGAACAATCCAAAACAGAAACATTTGCAGGCAAGTTAAAATAAGACATTCTGCCCTAGCCCGTTTGGCTCAGTGGATAGATTGTCAGCTTACAGACTAAAGGGTGCCGGGTTTGATTCCAGTCAAGGGCATGTACCTTGGTTGTGGGCACATCCCCAGTAGGGGGTGTGCAGGAGGCACCTGATCGATGTTTCTCTCTCATTGATGTTTCTAATTCTCTCTCCCTCTCCCTTTCTTTCTGTAAAAAATCAATAAAACGTATTTTAAAAATTAAAATTAAAAAGGAGGAGAGGAGAGGGAGAGAGAGAGAAACACTGATTGGCTGCTCTGACTGAGACTATAATCGGCAACCATAAAGTACATGGGATGATGCTCAACTGAGCAACATGAGCCACGGCCCAATAGACTTTAATATTATAACTTAAAAAATAAATAAATAAATTATAACTTCAGCAGCAGAAAAAAATTAACAAAAATTAACTTTTAGCCGAAACCGGTTTGGCTCAATGGATAGAGCGTCAGCTTGGGGACTGAAGGGTCCCGGGTTCGATTCCGGTCAAGGGCATGTACCTTGGTTGCGGGCATATCCCCAGTAGAGGGTGTGCAGGAGGCAGCTGATTGATGACTCTCTCTCATCGATGTTTCTAACTCTCTATCCCTCTCCCTTCCTCTCTGTACAAAATCAATAAAATATATTTTTTTAAAAATTAACTTTTAATCTATATAACAAAAACCATAAAAGCTGAAAAGATGGTAAACTTGCAATTACCTGTAAAAGGTGATGACTTATCTGACTGTTTCACTTTCAGGAGTTTCCTATTAATAAATATATAACCACAGGGACAAGATTTACATGCAACAGGAACCTGGAGAGGGGAAAAAGAGAGAACATATATTACCTTAGACTTTTTAAGTGTTTCTGCGGTCTCTTCAACTAAACAATAAGTAACCTGAAGGAAGCAATCACATTTACATTTAAATTCTACCTCCTCATACGCACTGAGATAAGAATCACATCTAGCCCTGGCCAGTTTGGCTCAGTGGATAGCGCACTGGCCTGTGGACTGAAGGGTCCCAGGTTCAATTCTGGTCAAGGGCACATGCTTCAGTTGCAGGCTCCAGCCCTGGTAGGGGTCCATGCAGGAAGCAACCACTTGATGTGTCTCTCTCACATGGATGTTTCTCTCTCTGTCTCTCCTCGCCTTTCCACTCTCTCTAAAAAAATCAATGGAGCTGAAATCGGTTTGGCTCAGTGGATATTTAACCCTGCTATTCTGGCTTTCACACTCGCTTACTTGCTTACTTGCTCAAGGGTCCCAGGTTTGATTCCGGTCAAGGGCATGTACCTTGGTTGCATGCATATCCCCAGAAGGGGGTGTGCAGGAGGCAGCTGATCGATGTTTCTAACTCTCTCTCCCTTCTTCTCTGTAAAATAATCAATAAAATATATATTTTTTAAAATAAATAAAAATCAGCCGAAAGCGGTTTGGCTCAGTGGATAGAGCGTCAGCCTGCGGACTGGAAGGTCCCAGGTTTGATTCTGGACAAGGGCATGTACCTTGATTGCGGGCACATCCCGGTGTGCAAGAGGCAGCTGATCGATGATTCTTTCTCATCGATATTTCTAACTCTCCATCCCTCTCTCTTCCTCTCTGTAAAAAATCAATAAAATACATATTAAAAAATAAATAAAAATCATATTAAAAACAAAAAGATTAACAGGAGTTCTCCAAAGACCAGAAGGAGGAGCTCTGGTCACCCTCCCGCCAGCGCTCTGGCCCCGCCAGCCCACAGCGGTGGGACGTCATCGGTTGCTAGGAGACGGGATGGCGCCCAGGACCCTGCGGCATCTCAGCCGGTGACAGGCCCTGGCTCTGGCTTCCCGGACCGCAGCGCTACCACGCCATTCCCCGCCGATCCTGGGAGCCCGGCCTTGCTGGTGGGCGAGTTCAAATCCACAAACTGTCCCGCCACCGTCGCTCCCGCCGGCGCCGCGGGGGAAGCCCCGGAGCGCGGAGCATCCTCCGAGCCAGGGCGCGGCGGGGGCAGTCCGGTCCGGGTCTGACGGGGACAAACTGCCCTCCAGGCGCGTTCCCGTCCGGACGGACACGGGGGCTGACGGGCCGGACCCGCCGCCGTCACCGGGACCGCCGGGCGGCCGGGGACGGCCCACGCCCCCTTCCGCGCCGCCGGCCGCCGGAGGAGCCCGCGCCGCAGGACGGACCCTCACCTGTAGGTCGCACTGTGGGCACGACTTGGAGGCCATCTTCACTTTCTTGGCTCGACTCGCAGACATGGTCCTCCCGCCAGCAGCCCGGCCCCCGCCCTGCGGGTCCCGCTGCCCCGACTGAGGCACAGCCGCATGCGCATGCGCGTGCGCGAGATTGGGCGGGGCCTGTATGCTGGGGGCGGGGCCTGTGGGGCGGGGCCTATGTGCGAGGGGGCGGGGCGCTGCAGCGTGCGCTGGCACGTGGGACCGCGCTCCCACCAATCCACGCGAAGGGCGGGCCCTCCAGCGAGACAATGACCTCGGCTTCTCTGGGTTCTGCAACGGCGTGGGGGCGTGGCTAGGGCGGGACCTGGCAGTGACGGGCGTCGGGCTCCACCAATGAGTGCACAGGACGGTGCTGGGCACGCCTCCCCCGGGAGGGAAACCGGGAATGGGAGAGGGCGGGTGGGAGAGGGGAGGTGGAAGGTACATTGTCCAGCACAGGTTAACTTCAGCAGCTGGCAGCGAGTCTAATCATGGAGGAGTTGTACTCACACCCTGCATCCAGGGCCCGGGATTGAAAATGCACCCCTTTACTTAATAAATAATTGCCTAAGGCCCACTGCGGGGCCAGTTCCGCCAGGAAACACCTGCTTTTTGAGCCATTAGTCAGAGATCTACAACCTACTCCTCATAAAACGACGTAAAAAACATACATATAAATGCAAGTTCATTTTTTAAAATGTGGAAGTCGACACAAAATCACATTTCAAGATTAAATTATGTTCTCTCTTATGTTGAAAGCAGGAACAAACATGAGAGAGAACATAATTTAAGAAACTGTGCACTTTGCTCAGAGAAAATTTGCCCATCAGCGTTGCTGACAGACAATGGCTGTTGCCCTGGTAACTGGCTGTTCTATTGTAACTAAAGCACGGTCTGAGCGATAGTTCTATTCTGCACATTAAGTGCCTGTAAGCACATTTTGAATAAATACAATGTGCATAAATAAATACGTAAAGCATTCAATGTTGCAAATTGAAGTATGGTAGCAACCAGACATAGGTAAAAACTGCTGTTTGAATTGTAACCCTGCTATTCTGGCTTCGGCACTCGCTCACTTGCTTAAACAATAGGGTAGTTGTCTCGGCTCCCAGATGGAGACCTGGAGGCTAAGGGAGTTTTCCTGTGCCTGTGAGCCAGGACCACAGGAGACTGATTCCCACCGATTCAGTAGCTTCAGGAGCAGAAACTGTAGATAACCTTTAGAGATTAACCGCTCAGCTCTGCTTCTGTACTATCTGCTATCGCAAGATAGGGCCACATTCCAATGTCCAGCAGGATGTGGCTGGGAACGACCCTAGGACTGTTCCCAGAATTTAGAATTTAGAACAAAGGAAAATGTCTGTAGTTTAGGCCTTTAAAAGGACTGCCTACACCTGGAAGGGCACAGTTGTGAGTGTGGACTCCACCTGTGTGTGGTGCTCTGGAGGCCGTCCTGGCCAGTTCAATAATTCTGCTTTTTTTAATCAACCGGCAGCCTCCTGTGGTCTTATTCTGACTCCAGGGTTCGACCCACAACAGAATGTGTGACCACCCAGCCAGGTGGTGAGTCCCTGAGCGTGGTGGACCGGCCACGGGGGATGATTTTGGGTGATGATGATGTTCCTCACGATTGTAGTGAATCCACAAGGCCACTCCACACTCGGGAAGGCAGGGATTGAGGCCCACCTCCCGAAGGAGGGTGTCTTGAAGAATCTGCAGACATCTGTCAAAACCATGACTCTGGCTGCTGGCAAGAGGCCTCAGCTCAGCCCCTCCCCACGGGGCCTCTCCATAGGGTGGCTCCGGTGGCCTTAGGACATGGCAGCTGGCCTTCAACAGATCGGTGACCCGAGAGAAAACAAGCAAGAATCCGCAGTGTCTTTGATGGCCTGCCTTCCGCTCTGTACACTCATCTCTGTAGTACCGCATGGCTCGCCCAGGCCAGCTCCCTTCGCGTGGAAGGGACTAAATCGGGGCACACATTCCGGGAAGCAGGGGTCCCGGGGGTCATCCTGGCCCCCGGCCACCACAGGTGCCCACAGGAAGCAGTGGCTAATTCTGGTCAATAAGCAATTAGACCAGGCAGGTCGTCTGTAATAGCAGGCATGCTGGGGAGGGCCCTGCAAGGAGAGTGGCAGCCACTGAGAAAGCTGAGCAGGGTCAGAGGTCAGGGACAGAAGGAAAGGAAGAACAGAAGGGGCTGGAGGAGACGGGCTCTGGCAGGCTCACAAAGAGCAATCAGAGCAGGCGGCGGCGGCGGTAATGGCAGGTATTGTGTGCTCAGTGAGCAGGCTGGCTCTTCACAGCCGCTGCGAGAGCTCCCGGAAATTAGGACGTGGGCTTCCTCAGGGACACGGAGTGTGCCAGCCCGCCTCCCTCCCATCATGTGAACATTCAGAACATCGCGTCTCCACCGACAGCTCTTTATTTTATTTTATTTTTTTATTTTTTCCAACAGCCCTTTCAAAGGGTCCGTTTTTGGTGGGGAGAGGAAAGGAGGAGCAGCAGCAGGAAGCTCAGCCAATCTCGGTTCATTCCCGGTCAGGGCACCTGCCCAGATTGTGGGCTTGATCCCCCCGTAAGAGCAAGTGGAAGGCAGCTGATCCATGATTCTCATCATTGATGTTTCTCTCTCTCTCTCACTTCTCTCTCTCTCTCTCTCTCTCTCTCTCTGAAATCAATAAATATACTTGTTAGTCCTTGCTGGTTTGTTCAGTGAATAGAGCATTGGCCTGGGGATGGAAGGGTCCCAGGTTCGATTCCAGCCAGGGGCACAGGCCCGGGTTGCAGGCTCGATCCCCAGTGCGGGGCGCGCAGGAGGCAGCTGATCCATGATTCTCTCTCACCACTGATGTTTCTCTCCCTTTCCCTCTCCCTTCCTCTCTGAAATCAATAAAAATATATTTTTAAAGGTATATTTTAAAACGTAATCATGAGGTAGGAATGATAGAGGAAGTCTGATGGGGAGGTTTCTCCTGCTGTGAAGACAAAGGCCGTGGCTTCCTCCCTCTGACAGGCCCTCAGGAGGCCTTCCCGCTGGAAGCGGCCGTAAACAACGTGCAAACGGTGACAGCCGGCGCTAGGTGGCAGGCTAGCCATTCCCAGCCCCCGCCCGCCTGGCCCTGCGGTTCAGATTTCATGTCTAGTGCAGCCCGCTCCCTGCCAGGTCCCCACTCCCACCTCGGGCAGCCTCCTCCCTGCCCTCCGCTCCTCCAATTCCTCCTCACGGAGCCTGGGACCCCGGGCCTCCCTGCCCCGCCAGGGCCACCAGTGCTCCTGTGTGTACCTCCCTGCACTGGCCCACCCTCGGGTACCTGTTGCCAGGCACCCTGGCACACCCCAGGGCCTGGGTCCCTGGGGAAGAGGCTCAGAGTCTGAGGCTCAGGAGGAACCCTCCCGGTGCAGGGACTATATCCACCCCCCTCGCTAAATAACCGACTTCCACAACAGCTTTTTTTGTGTGTGTGTGTGTGTGTGTAGAAAAGCAAGCAAGAATGTATTGACCACAGCAAACATATACTTAGGTAGTGACACAGGAAGGCATAGGACAGTGGTTAGTAAACTCGTCAGTCCACAGAGCCAGATATCAACAGGACCAGGATTGACATGTCTTCAGAGAGCCACATTTTTTAAACTTAAACGTCTTCTAACGCCACTTCTTCAACATAGACTCGCCCGGGCCGTGGTGTTTTGTGGAAGAGCCACCCTCAAGGGGCCAAAAAGCCCCATGCGGCTCTCGAGCTGCGGTTTGCTGACCACGGGCCTAGGAGGAGCCACTGGAGAGCCCAGGCCGGGAAGTCAGAGAACAGGGGGCCTTGGAGACGGATTCGGGGGTGAGCCTGGGACAAGCTGCTGCTGCTGCCCACTGCTCCCCTGGTGGCAATCGCATGGGGTCCTTGGGGATACGTGCCTGAGGGGTAAGGGGTGGGGGGCGAGAATGGCACAGGTGTACTCTCAGAAGGAGAAGGCCCACAATGGCTCTCACCGGTGTCCTCGCTGCCTTTGGATTTAGCCAGTGAGGGACAGGAGGTGAAACCGTTGTCTTAAGAAAGGCACTTTTAGTTGTAAGTAACCAAAGCCCTGTGACAAGGAGCTTCAGCCAAATAGAAAGATGAGAGAAATTTGTTTTAGCCAATAGCCTTAGGGGCCATATGTAGTGTGTAATCTTCGACACAATTATACAACCATGTACCTACCTATAGAGTTTACGTTTCTCCAAAGAAATGTCCATCGTTGTCCTGTTGCTGTTTGGCTCTGTGGACTCATGAGTGTGCCGACCACTGGCCTATCCAGTTTGGCTAGACGGAGGCAGAGGTCAGGATGAGAACGAGGGAGGCAGGCGTGGCTTCCGAGAAAAATCACCAGGGTCCTGTCACCCGAGGGAGGGACCCAGGGCGAGCCGCCCCAGCACGCTCACTCCCTGTCCCCTGTCCAGGCACACCCGGGACTTCCTGTCGGGGAGCGGCTGTGCCTGGCTCAGCCGCCTCTGGCGAGCTGGCCGGCGGGGGCAGAGGTTGCCCTCTGGAAGCCCGTCACAGGCGGCCGATCCTGATCCCGGCTGACATTCTCTCTGAGGTGAATCAGCACCCCCTCCCTCGCCTCTTGCCACTGAGCGGGGTGCTGGCTCTGGCACCGGCTGCTGCCGACCAGGCCAAGCCCGTGGAGGAACTGCCTGCCCCTGGTGGCACTCCCGTCCCCGCCCCGGGAGGACTCCCCCACCCTCTACCCCTTAGACTTCCTTGGCTCCTGCCAAGTGCATGGGGATCCATTTCATCGTGCTCTTGCCCAAGACATGCAAGTTTCCCTTAATAAACCCTATTAATTACCGGCGGGGGGTGGGGAGGCTGGCTGTCTGCGTCCTTCCTGGGCTCTGCTTGCGGGGTGAGGTTTCAGCCCCGGCCTTACCCCGGGGTCTGTGTGGACTCGCCTACCAGGTAACAGCGCTGCTCCCCGGTTCGCTGGGCCCACCACCGCCCCTGACATCCTCTTCTCCAAAGCCGGGGTCAGGTCAGGGTTGCCCAGCAAGCCTGGAGCCGTGCCTCAGTGTGAGCTTCGACCTAGGAGCCAGGAGGTCACAGGTTGATTCCCCGGTTGGGGC